GGGTTAGGCTAGGGGCACCCCCCTGCCACTGCAGCCCCCCAGCCCGCTAGAGCGGGGAGGGGACCCAGGTGTCCGACCTCCCAGCTCTAACCACTAGGCCCCGTTCCCCTGCCACAGGGGCTGGAAGTGGGTGGGCCGGGCTGGGCTGGGCGGTGGGGCCTGGGCATGCCCCCGGCCTGGTTAACCCCGACCGTGCCGGGGGCCTGCTGGAACCTGACACCCCTGGGGGGGGGGTGCCAGGGGCAAAGGTTGCCGTTTAACCCCATGGGGGCCAAGCCGCCGACACGGCTGTAAATTGAGAGCAGGTCTCGCCGCCACCCGGGCCCCTCCCGTCACCTCCCCCAGCGCCGCTGGAGACGGGACCCAGGCATCCGGGCTCCCCCGCAGACCCCACTCCCCTCCCAGGAGGAGGAGGTGGCTTGCAGGCATGTCCCTCGCCCTCCCTTGTGCCTCAGTTTCCCCTGTGGGGGCTGCCCCCAGGTCTGCCCCACCTCCACATGCCAGGGCGGGGAGTAGGGGGCACACGGCAGGGCTGGGAGAGGAGCCAGGCTTCTGGCCCCGCAGAGCCTCCTCCCTTCCCGGAGCGGGGAGGGGACCCTGGCGTCCGGGCGGCCCACCTGGTCGGAGAGGCTGGGGCAGGCGTAGTCCTCCAGGTCGGACTTGGAGCCATCCCGGTCGTCAATGACCAGGTCGATCGGCATCTTCCCCTTGAGGCAGGTGATGTAGCGGTGGCAGAAGTTGTCGCACAGGTCGTGCACCTGCGACCCCCAGAGACAATGTGGGGTGGGGGGGTTGAGGCCAGGCCACGGGTTCAAATCCCCACAGGGTCCGGACCTCACAGGGGCTCCCGCTGTGTCCTCTATCCATCCCCCCCCACCAGCCCCAGGACAGCTCCGTGCCCCCCGGGCCTGGCCCAGGATGGAGCTGCACAGAGATCCCACTTCTCCCACCAATCAAGGGCTGGGGGCAAGGCTGGGCTGGACTGTGGGTTTGAATCTGCACGGGGTCCAGACCTCACAGGGGCTCCCGTTGTGCCCTCTACCCACACCCACCAGCCCCAGAACAGCCCCGTGCCCCCCAGACCCAGCCCAGGATGGAGCTGCGCAGAGATCCCACCACTCCCACCAATCACCACAAGCTTCCCCCTCTTCGGGGGCCCAGGAAGCGAGTAGGGGGGTGAATGTAGATGCCCAGGTCCCCTCCCCTTCCCCCCTCTACCCCGTGCCTCAGTTTCCCTCCCCATCTGCCTGAGCTGCCAGGGGCTACCCCTAATAGCCGGGCTCCCTGCCCCCCATTCCCTTCTCTGCTTATATTTTTAACCCTTCCCTCCCCTGACAAAATGTCTCCAAGCCGAGTCCAAGGGTCCCTTTGTCTGCCTCGTGCCCCCCACCCCCAAATCGGCTGCCGGGGATACAGGGTCTTCCAGGCCCAGTGCCTTCCAGGAGCTCCCAGGCAGGCCAGGATGGGGGTCCAGGTGTGGTCGGGGGGCACATTTACCTTCTCCAGCTCCAGGAGGTGGAATCGCAGCACCTGGATGGCCTGGATCATCTGCAAGGGGGGAACGAGGTGGGTACATGGGGGAGCCGGGAGCCCAGATGCCTGGGTCCCACATCCAGGGCTGGGGGGCCCACGGAGGCTGGTACAGGGGGAGGCAGGAGCCCCCAGGCACCTGGGCTGGGATGCTGGATCAGGGGATGGCCCCGCATCCTTGCCCAGGGTCAAGGGGCGACTGGGCAGAATTGGGGGGTGGGAGGGAGGGCC